GTAAAACCTTGAAGGTTATGGGGTATCCTCAAATTATTGTAATGGAGGCCAAAAAATTTCCCTGACTGTTGCGCTGACACGTGACTCTTTCTTGTTTGTTAGGTGTGTGACCAGGTTCTGTTCACTACCAGAATGTAAAAATCTGTCATCTTGTTGTGATTATAGATACCAGTCAGCTTTTAAAATATCAGAGAGTAAACCTTGTGAAGCCATTAGAACAGCCTATAAGATAAGAGACCAATAAAAAGAGACGCCTCAGAATTTCTTCAGGATTGCCTCCAAATCAGTAAATTATTCTTCAGCTTTACTATGGGCTAGGTAAACCAGTGTGTCGTTTTGACTATGAAGTTGGGAGCTTCTGCTATTAAGGAAAAATTCAGTTTTCACAGTTTTCTGGCCTTCATCTCAGAAGAGTTTTTAATTGCCTGCAATGACCTGAAATTAGGAAAGGAACGTAAGATTCTCACCTGTATTCAGATAACCCCCTCTAGCTCCCTAAATTCTTTTATGTTCTGAATAATGAAAAAGTGCTCTGAATCTTTGCAAAATCATACATGTCATCTCCGAAGCACAGATTTGTTGAAATAAATTACTTAACTTGAATTACGTAAATATATTAACTATTAAACCCTAATAAATCAAAAGTAGGAAACTGAAAAAAGAAGTAACAGAAATACGACTTGCTATCATATTTTGCCAGACAATTTTACTTTAATCCCTGAAGTCTGAAAATTTAATGTAATCATCTAACCAAGTATGGTCCAAAATCCCTACAACTGTTGATTAAGCTAAAGGTGAGGCTAAAAAAGGTGAATACACCTGAGTGTACCAAAAAATGCTTTCAGTAATCTCATTATAAGAGAAACTCCAAGTTCAATCATGATAAATTTATCTTCTTGTTCAGTTATGCCAAAGGCATATGCAACAGTGGTGTGATTTTAATATTCTGTATACCTTGAAGCATAGAATATGAAGACCATTAAAAATCTTTCTATGTTCCTCCTCATTTAAGTTCTGAAATAGTCCAAGGCAAGTTGGGCCACCTGATTTTTAAGCAGAAATAGGTATGTGAATATTATTTTTCATCTTTGGAAAAACAGTGTCAGTATATCCTGTTCAGCATACCCCGCTGTTCTTCAAATAGGCATATTTGTAACTATACCTAGGACAAGAACCCATTTCCTGATTCTAGGTCCATCCAATGTATTTGTTGGTTTGTTTCTGACTTAGAGGGTCCTAACAAACTTTACACAGTTTAAAAAGAAAAGAAGAGAAACTTTTTGATTTGCATACATGGATTATTATCAGATGTTACGATCACGGGGACTTTCTGGTTTTGACAGTGGGTAGTGTTTATAAACAGATAAAATCAGCAGCACGTAAGGGTACAAGACCAAGTGTACGCATCGCTGATGTTCTGGTTTGAACCCTTGTAGATATATGCAAAGACCTTGCCCTGGTGACATGCACAAGTGGATTTGTATCCTCACTCTCTTCAGCTCATGTTTTTCAGCCGCTTCTAAATGGATCACAGATGCCTCCACAGCTGAACATATCTATGCTTCCTCACTGTAATAAGACACAACTTCTCCTGTTGAGTTCTGGCCCTATGATTGTGTAATCAGATATCACAGTCTGATTGTCATAATTGTGTGCCTGATTTGCATTCAGAATTACCAAGATTATGCATGTCAATTAGGTATTTGAGTCCACAATTAGATATTGCACATTCTGGTAATTGCATGTGGAAATTAGGCATACAGTTGCATGTGAATGTTTGTGCACACAGTTGGACAGATATCCAGTTCAAACTCTAGGAAATTCAGATATTAATCTAGAAGGGCTCCAATAGGACAGTAAAAATAAGCTGAGATGAACCAATATTATTTCTTGTGCAGTTTATTACTAAAAAGAGCTATTTAAGATGTAAAGATTAAAAGATGCTTTTTGACTCATTAAGAGCAGGGGACTTCTGTTTTTTGGGACCTGTTTGATTTCTGAAAGTTATTGAAAGTGGAATTGAAGTGTTTGTTACCTCATTCCAAAATCACTTATTCTTTTTCTTTAAATTGATGTTTCAGTGGTTAATGTCCTGCCCTTTTTTCTCCACTATCAGTAGGGTTGAAATATACTTTTCTGTTTTGCAGTGCTTTTGTAAGGGACAAAATTATTGAGTGGCAGTTGGAGACACGTGTGGGCGAGTTGTAGAGAAATTTTGAGAGGCGTACTAGTTTGAAACTTTGGTTTTCTCATACACAAAGAATACAATATTTTTAAAAATGCCTTTTCCAGTAACAAAGGGGGCACTATAGCATGACTGGCAGGACATTGCTGTACTGACTGGATAAAATATTTATTTTAACATACCAGATTTATGAAAAGGTAAGATTAGAAACTTAACTCCAATACAAAAATTTGGCTTTATTGATTTTCAGAGAACTCCTCTGTTTCAGGGTGAATCCCTGTGTTAGTAGGGAAGCATCTATGGTAACTGTAAACTAACCTTAGTTTCATATATCTGGGAGAGACAGGCTGTGAGCATAGGGCTGCTTCGGCAGCTTGAAAACATCTGGTCAACACATAACTTTGATGTTATGAAATTGTTTTTGGCATTGATGAAACAATAATAAACTGCTTGTTTTCCATATTTTTTAACTGTTAATAACACTTTCTGTTTAAAAATATCAGCTCTATGTAAAGCTGGTTTTGCTAAGATGTTTCCTGGAGAATTTTATAAACATGATATATTTTAGTTTTTGAAGAATTCCAATGAACAATTTTAAATTTGTATGAACTTTACATATTTAATGAAAAACAGTTGTATTTTCTGAGTTTCTGAAAAGCTTTAATGACTGTAACAGTCCTGTGCTGTAGTTAATCCTTTTGTATATGGACTTATGGCCATATGTATTAAAGTCACCCTGAGTACTGAAGTGAGTAGTCTCCAAATCTGACTGCTGGTCAATTATTGTGTTTTGAAATAGCTATGGAAAACACACTGTGTTGTGCTGCTGACAGCTGAAGTAGCCCTGGTTCTGGGAAACTGCCATCTTTGCATTGCCACTCTCAATTTCCAGGCCACGTTAGTTGAAGTCAAGAATATGCCGATGTGGCTTTTGATCAATTTGGACTTAATTTGAGAGATACTTTGAAATGACAAGTTGGATACAGAATAACAAGAGGTTGATGCATTTATTGAATATTTAGGTATTTTGTATTCATTCTTATTTTCATTATTACTTGTAAAAAATATGAAAGGCACAAATCAAGGGACAGTAGTATTTTAATTCTTCTACAAAGATAATTAGTTTGATTTGGTTTTCTTGCCTATAAGAATGCTTTAAGACCAATAGACTGATAAACAAAAATTTTCCTTTTACTAACTGATTTCCTCTTACTAATTCTTTTATCCAGTTATGGAGACTGAAATAATGCTTCACAAAAGCATTGCCTTCCCTGCTATTTCCCACCACATATGTCTTCATTTTCTTCTTGCAAATTAATTATTGTATTTTTAAATGTATTTAAAACAGTAATTACTAGTATTATGGAGATACTGACTAGTGTTTTCTTAAGTTAGCTATGCTTAAGTTGGGGAAAAAAAGAACCATTTTGCAGTGTAGCTGTATGGGCATTTACACTATCCCTGCTCATTTAGACGAACAAGACTGTGCCTTTCGGCTGTTCAAAGTATGGAGCTGCAATGAACCACATCTACTAGGTCACTATGAAGTAAGGGTTTTGAAAAAGCAGCCCTTTTTTTGTGGCTTCAGAATTGCCTAGAGGCTAGGATGTAAATTTTCCTCTTTCAACTTACTGAAATTTAATAATGAAATAGGAAGTTCTCTGCCTTCCAATATACTGCTGTAATATCTTTTTATTTTACAAAATTTTAAAAAAAAAAAGTTTCCATCATAGAAAATGAGGGGAGTGAAGTACTTGTTTGTTGATGTTGCATACAGTGTCCCTTTATGTGATAGCATGGTTCATGATACTGTTTTTAATGATATATTGCTCCTTTTTGTAAACCTAAGAGAATTTGTTTCTCCTCTGAAGTCACAGAAAGTAGTGCTAACATTGTTTTGAAAATGTGTTACTCAGTACTTCATAGCTTACATTTTCTCTAAGAAATTGCAATTTAATGTACACATTATATGGTAGTCCTGTATTTTTGTTGAGTGCAAAATCTGAAATTTGTCAAACTTCTGACATATCTGGAGAAATAACATATGTTTAGAAAGAGGAAAATATAGGATGAATTCAGGCCGGTTAACCTCTAAGAACTGCTTGTTATAAAATGTTCTCCATGCTCATGGCCAGCATGTTTGGCAGTGCATAATTGATGAGATATTTAAAACTGCAAAAATTGGGTTTAAGTGTGAATACGCAACATAATACTGAAGATAGTCACACATAGCTAACAAGCGGTTAGCCCTGTCTTTCTTCTTGCGTAGAGTAGTTCTTTATCAATCTAAATATTATATTGACATTGATAAACTGCATTTAAACTGCAATGGCCTAATGATTAGGGTCTACCATCCTTTAGGGAGGGATCATAACAAAAAATAGAATCTCAAAGCTAACTTTCAGAAATAATTATTTTTATTAAGTAGCAGATCTCAAAAACCTAGGAGCCAAATAGTTAGAAATAATAAAAAAATTACTATATGAAGTGAAAAGAAGATATGGATAACCCTAAATAGAAACCCAAACAAAAAAAAAAAAACCCACAAACAAAAACAATTTGATTGAATAACTAGCCAAAAACATATCTTGTGATACCTTCGCATTATTATTGTTCTAACACATCCTTAGTTTAGTGTGACTTCAAGAGTCAAAAGGATTAACCAGGAATTACTTTGGTTTATGAATTAGTGTATGCAGTCATTTAAGCTTATGAAGTAGGTCTAAAGAAGAATTCAGAAATTCTTAATCATTGATATCAACATGTATGTTGTAACAATATACTGACAAATAAAACCTTCTTGTTCATGTTTCAGCATTTCAGGGAACACCTTGACAAACTTTTTGCAAAAGGAATTGGAATGCTGGACATTGCTTTAAATGAAGCTTTCAACATGCTCAATGAAGTAAGTTAATGCTTTTCAGATTTATGCTGTTGACACTTTCTCCTACTAAATGTCTGATGCTGTTACGATGAGAATGTAGTTCCTTGTGTATTTGGGCATTCTAGTTTGTCTACAGGTAGAAATGAATCTCTTCTGATGTGGTTATCATGGTGGCAGTCCAGCTGGGTAGTTAATATTGCATAATGTTAATGTTAGTGATGGATACTTCCAAGTAAATCCATTATGTGTTTCTTTCTAAGAACAGCTTGTCCTTGAAAGAGAATCACACTTCACATTCAGAAAAGTAAAATTATATTTGTGTGTGTGTATATATAGATCAGCTTTAAATATAAAAAGAAATTTACAATGTTTAGAGACAAAAATAAAACAAATCAATGCCTTGTTCATACTACTTGAACCTCTGTAACATATTCAGGGTATCTCTTCTCAGTGAGCCAAACTGTTCTCCTGACATACTTCCATGATAGCCTGTTTCCAAGAAATCTATAAACTCTGTGTCTATGGGCTCCAAATAACTGCTACTAGAGTGTTCTGTAGGTGTGTATTACAGAACAGCCTAAGTTTAGGGCTGACAGTTTAGACCCCCTATCACGTTACTTGGTAGTTCAGATCCAGAACTAGTTTGCTTTATCATTCTCAGTGTGAACAATGCCTTGGAGTGTTGACTGGGATACATTCATTAGAAATCAATTCACTCTTCCTCTCTAGTCAAAGTATGGCTCTGAAAAGAGGCACCATTTTAAAAACTACAGTCTCTCTTCTTTAAACTAAGTTACAGGGACTTAATTCCTGTTGCACAAATTAAATTCAGTAAAACTCGTTATACTACAACAAAGCTTAGTAAGGATCACTAAAGAAAGCTGGAAAACATTTTTATAGTACTTTTTTACTTTTAATAAAGATGCAATGTAGGCATATTCTGACTTGAATTTTCGTCATGTCATGAAAACAGTTTTGTTTCTCTTTTTGCCTAACGTTTCCCAGGCCATCTATTTTTCAGCTCATCTAGCCTTTGTAGATCCCATGTCTTAAATATCATGTACCTTTAGAATTAATATGCATCCTAACTAACGTCAGTTGGATTTTAAGAATACAAACCAGTCACAACTCATGAATTAACAGATGATAGAATAAAGATTGAGCTATGCCAACTGATGTTTTTAGAAACTTCATTATTGTCACTCACGTTTACCAGGGTTGTTTTGGAAAGAAATATTTCAGTCACAAATACAACAAGCATATTCCTTTTTTCCTTTTTTTTTTCTTTCTTTCTTTCTTTCTTTTTTTTTTCCTCTGGTCCTTTTCCTTTTCCACCTCCTTCTTGTTTTCCCTTTTTTCAACTAAGCTTATATTAATGAAAATGTTTTAAAGTTTTCATTAAGTGTAGTCATTTCTTTTGGGCAAAAAAATTTAAAATCTCTTAGTCTGCTGGAAAAAGAAAATCTCATCTAAAATAAGTAGCAAACTGTCTTTTGATTGAAGGATGTACCTTGCAAATGAGACCTCAAAACAAAATATTCTCCAAAGGGTTTGACTTGACAAGTGTGCCTGCCTTCATACTGTAGGATCATAGATTAACTAATATTTCTAATTCCTTTGTATTCATCTTGAAATACAATATTGATCAGTTCTTTTCTGGGCATAAAATCCTAAAATGAAAAGATGAGGATCTTCCTCCACCCACTGCCCACGTGTTCACCCAGACAGTGTGGAAGTAATTCCTTCATGTGGTGCACGCCAAAAATGATAATGGGAAAAGCTGCATGAAGTAAAGAACACTCTAGGTTGTTTGTAGAGGGTTTACTAAGAATCCCATTATGGGCACTGAATATAGTCTTAGAAAACATACACAACAGTAAATAGCAACCAGCCTCAATACAAGAAATGTTCTTTACTAGTCTTCTGAATATGTGTAAACTGAAAAATATCATTACAGACAGTGATCAAGAAGACCCGAGATGAGATTTGTTTGTTTTGTTTTAAAATCTGTGAGGCAACTGAAGTTATAATGATGACTGTGGTATAAAAATCCATTAGATAAACTGATAGTTTTGAGAATAAAAGGAACTGACATCCGATGTACTGAATTGTACCTATAATGAGTGAGACTCTTTTGATCTGTAAGGTCATGATGGATCATGCTACATGTATGTTCAGATCTATTCAAGGCGGAGTAATGACTGTTTCTTATTTATACTATAAAAGGGAGTATAATAGCTTCAAGCCTTCTTGCACGTATGCTTCAGAATTGACAGCATAAAAATCTTTTCCATTATATACAGGCATATCGGCAAAGTCTCTGGGAGCTTCTACTAAGCAGCCTAGGTCAGAGAAAAAGCTACTTAATCTCTCCTTAAAAGACTACAGCTAACCATTTTCCACTTTGTCTACAGGATGTGACCTTTATGTGCCAGAAATCTATTCTTGTGAATTATAGGTTAGCTAAAGATGTCTCGTCTTCATTTAAAAAAGAGAAGGGGGGCAGGGAAGGGGAAAAAAAAAAAGTAGGGGGTGGAGGAAAAGCAAAGGAAAAATAGAAAAAGCTTGGTTTTACACAAATAGTATATTAAGATTCTGGTTGGATTTTAGAATGGTTCAGGGTTACACTAATTAAACTCAGTTAATTTTGCCTTGCAATTACCTCTCAGTATTTGCCTAGGTTGTTAAGACTTGAAGATGGTTGATACTGATGTCTTTGAAAAGCACATTTAAAAATCCATTTCCAAATTCTTTCCCATCATCAATTTATGCAGTGTTCATTATATAGTGTAAGAATATAGAAGTGCTTCGTACGGTAGTTAGGCACCTACTATGTCATGTGACAACTGCAATTATCTCTTCTGGTGATAAATGCGGTCTTTGCAGTGATTACCTTTAAAAAAATCACAGCAAATTAAATAAAATTCTGTGACATTTCAAAGACTGTTAATCACAACCAAATGCTGTAAATGTCAGGATGCATTGAAATTTTTTGCTGCTAACTGATGAATCGCTGAGTTAATTGTAGTTCATCATAAGGCCCTTGTCATTGTTATTATTATGGAAAACACTTTCATCACTCTTGCTATTCAATAAAATTAAAGTTCTAGACAAATATGAGAAGATACTACTCATCAAAGCATTTGAATTTAATCTCATTCTTCAAAATATTCGAACAGATAACTATGTAGAATAATGCAAATGCATACAGAGTGATGTTTTAAAATAAATATATGAAGGCATTCCCCCCTCATTAATTTCCCTTTTAGTATACCTTGTCTCTTTCAAAATATGTTGTCCATATGAAGAATATATCCCTTGACAAAGTAACTTCGTCTTTATGAGAAAATATTGGATCTAAAAATCATACTAATGAAGGAATCCCATGTTAATAATTCTGGTTCTGGTTAAGACTGTCACGACTGAAGAATTTTAAGGATAGACTGCCTTGCAGGTATCACAGATAAGAGTTTTCACACAGGCAGTGACCAGAATAGCTAACTCTGTAAACCCGCTTTAGTTTCCCTTTAAGTAACATGTTTCTATTACGGTTCACTGAGGTTCCTGTTTGATCAAAAGGAAACTGATCTGGAGGAGAGCTGCAGATGATATAAATGATTGTTGAATGATGTTTGTGGATGTGATTACTCAGATATAGAAATGTGAAGGCAGAAGAAAAGAACACAGAGCACTGCTGGAACCATCTACTTACTTCCTTTCCTACTGCAGGCATGTCTACAAAGACAACATTTTTAGAAGTTAAGAAATTTTTCTAGAAAAAAGGTTTTTACAGTTTTGGGAAGAACAGCAAATATGTAAGGGCGAGTAGACTGCAGAAAGCTTAAAGACAGAGCAGTTGCTAGCACAAATCAAACTAGAATACTCCGAACAAATTTTGTTGAATCTAGAAGCCGCCAGAGTCCCTGCAAGGTAATTCACCTTTAAATTTAAATACTACTTCTCAAATGGGACCATCCTTTTTTGGGCACCATTCATCACAGATAGGCTGGTGAGGTGGGACAAGGTAATTATTTCTTGGCTTTCTCAGTACCAAGAGAAAGGTGGTAGGATGAGGCCTTGTCTGACCTCAAAGTTGGTAATGTACCTGAAAACTACATAGGAAGAGAACAAAAGGAGATTGTTCATTCATTAGAATGTATTCAAATGTTAGCCCAATCTATGGAGTTGCGTGTAATGCCCCAGTTTATTGATCTTTTCACAGATTTTTTTTAGTGTTCGTACAGAGTAATTAAAAATCAAATAATTTTCCAACTTTGCATTTTTTTGCTAAAAGCTGGATGTTTCACCTAAGTTCCTTGAATATATAAAATAATATGCCCACAAATAATAACCTATTCTGCAATAAGATCAAATGGAGACACATGGATTCAAAATTAAGGCACCAACTCCAGAATCAAGAGATGAAAGCTTATGTTATGACTCAGTCCAATTTACTTGCTCTTTGACCAGGAGAAAATCCCATTTGTGGAACAATTAAATTTTCTTTGCATACTCCAAAGGATATGTTGACTGCTAAGTACCTGTGCTCAAGTACTGCTGTTCAGCAGCTTGAATTACTTACATGTATTCATTTTGAGTAATAGGAGAATCTGAGAATATATAAATATTAACTTGGTTCTCCCAGATAAACATTTTATGAAAAATAACATATGGAATGTAATCCTGAGTGAATATGAATGCCATATGAATAATCATATGTCTCTCTGTAAGTGGTGTATCTTCTGTACTTCGCAGTAAAATTATCAGTCATTCATTTCTTCTTCTTTTTCTGTATCTTGTTCTTTTAAAATTATATTTAAATCTGAGGAAACCCTATGTAGATGTATCAATACATATCATCTATCTAAAACAGGGGAATACAGTTTTAATTTGGGGAAGTGCTATATTTATGTATGTTTCTTATTTTTCAAGCTGATAAAATGGGGTTATATAATGAATCCCAATTCTGTTACATAATTGAAGTTACAATTCGGTAAGAACATAATATCTATGATAAGATGTTTTCAACGTGAGAATTTTTCACCTACTTCTAAGCATGCTAGAGATTTGACAAGATCCATGTTTATCCAGTGTGATCCTATCTATCTTCATTTAACAGGAATGTGCTGTAACTAAATGATTGTTTCCTTTCACAGTTCAATCACACAGGACAAGGAAGTATTTGCAGCCAAGCCATAATGTTGATTACTGATGGAGCTGTGGACACATACGATACAATATTTGCAAAGTATAATTGGCCAGACAGAAAAGTAAGTATGTTATCGCCTTTATTTGATGGAAAACCCAAAGCTTCATATCCAATATAAAGTGTATGCCTATTGAAAAATCAGTAAGAATCTTTCTAATAATCTAAAAATGATTTTGGATAACTGGATGTTTCACTAATGACAAAAATGATGCTTATGTGTTATTGCTGGAGGATAGAGATGGCCTTTTACTGTAGTAATGAACTTAGGATAGTAAGATATTAAGGAAATATTTCACCCCAGGGTACATTTTTCACCATTATGTAATGCTTCCCCTGTGAGACATCATTAAACATGAAAAAACTTTTCTTTCCTTTCTCCCAAACTACTCATTAATAATTCAATGCTTTTTGAAGCTAAAGAGGGGTATGTACTATGGACAGTGAACGGTTTACTATGACCGGAGAAGGAACAGATGTAGTACTCAGTATTTTTAATTTCTTTATTTGGCAAAGTGAGGGGTAGAGTTGGCAATTGGTGAGATTTCATTAAAAATGAATTTGGTTCTATCGATCTGTATAAAGAAATTTGCCCAGAATTAAATTACCTTGTTATATAACACATGGATGTCATACGGTAGTGCAGAAATGCCTTGTATTTTCCTGATAAGAAAGCTCTAGTAGGCCTCATGTTTGGATGTGAAATAATTGTCTTATATGCTTTTTATCTTCTGCTCAAGCAAGTTTTGGGACTATTTGAGGAAGTTTTTGTAGTTTGAGATACCTGCCATGTTATATGCCTGTGGAAGTAACAACCTCACTCTTCGAAGTGCAGTTTGAGCAAGCAATTGATTAATATGAGTGTGCTGTGTGGGGTTTCAGTATCCTGTAGAAAAAAGTAGTAGTTTGGATATGTAGTTTTTAGTCATGTTTCTCTCATTTATAAAATTACATTTGTTTTCTGGTCTCCTTTTTCTTGTTTACCTGAACTAAACCTCATGTATTAGCCATCAGTGAGCAAGAAAAAATGGGAAATTGGTGATTTTTTACTGATCTTCTGAAAATGTTATGTCAGTTACTGTCGTTTCATGTAGTAAAAATGACATACAACTATCCTACTTTTTGTTGGTTAAGAGGTTTTTATTCAGAGAATGTAGGGTAATAACTAACTGCAATCTGAAGATCTATTTTTCTCTTCAGATACCTTGCTTACTCCTTTTCTGTAACTTCATTCTCTAAAAGAAGAAAATTCATACTTTTTGTGATTTTACCAGGACATGCCAGGAAGTCTGTCATATTTAAAAGAATGCAAGGATGCATTGGTATTTGCACATATTCTGAGGAGACCTGTAATACTTTTCGTGTGAATTGGTGCTAGCTTTTGTGTAGTGGAGGAAGTTCAATATTTAATCTATACATTAAGATGTAGAACTAGATATTATGAAAGAAGTTCCATTGGATGTCAGCATTTGTCCAGGGTGGTATTTATTGTACTTCGTTGGGTCACATCTCAACTGGCAACGGCAATATTGCTGAAATATAACAGAAATAGTGTTTCTACTCTGTGACATACAAGAAGTACCTCCTTGAAATGTGGTGATTAACTATTTACAAGTTGGAGGAGAATATGTGACCTTTTATCTTTGTCTCCCTACTTTTCTTCAGTGCTTTTCACTGAGATTATTTGTTGTTGCTATTTATATGAAAATATCTCCTGCCTTTTCTTATTCTCTATTTACTGTTGAAGATGGGTGATTCTTCAGGGGTAAAGCTTTTATTGATTTTTTTTTTTTTTTTTTTCTGTTGATTAATTCGACATTTGGAAGGTTATGGCTTTGTAAAATATATAAGGCTGTTGAAATTATTGAATAATTCTGGAAACAGTAACATACCTGAACTGTAGCTTGAACTTGTTTTTCAGATATTTAAATATTCAAAATTGAATCTGTTTTTATCAGACAGGTCATATGTTATGTCTTTCTTCCTAAGTAAATGAGTGTAACTCCTTAATATTATATGGTTTAAGTCTTTTATCAGCTGGCTGTGCTCATATAAATGCCTGGTAGTAATATAGTCTCAATATATCACTTAAATCCTTCTTTCTATTCACATTTATTTCCGAATGTTTTCTGAGAGAAACAAGACAACTATAACCTGATTGTGAAATTATTATTTTAATAGCTGCTTCTTCAGATCACAAATGTTTATAAGCAACAGACAAAATTTTCTTCTTTTTTTTGAGTAACTCCCAGATGTTTGCGTACACTTTTGTCCCTATAGAAATGGTCTGAGAAGTGTTAATTTCAGCTATAGGCTGCAATATTTACTCTTAATGCTTTAGTCAGTTAAGTCTTGTAATGGTTCAAAATTTCCATGTTCAGATGATGTATGAATAATTTTCATTAAGCAATACATAAATTTAAACAAATTAAATTTAAACAAATGAAATAGAGGATATGAGGAATATGACTGAATCTAAATTATCTCTGTAATTTTAATCAGTATTTCTGATTTCCCGTCCCACTAATTTTATCTCCTTTCCAGTTTTGATATGGTTGAGTGACTTTGTAGGGTAGCATTAGCTCTGTTTTATGAAAACATAACTCATTTTGTTCCGCTGGAAAGGAGGCTTAAAAATTAAAAAAAAAAAAAAAAAAAAAGTTTTGTGGCCAATCTTTCCTCTCGTATTCAATAGGATATTATCTGAATTAAGTTGTTAAGTCTTCAAATGTTCCATGAGAACATTTTGCTTTACCTAGCAAACACTGATGACTAAGGAGATTTAAAGAATCTGTCAGAAGGATGTGCCTCTCATGTCTTGTATTTTCTTATACTATGAAGTTAGTTCCTCTCTTAAGAATGGGAAGAGACCATGGGGAAACTCTCTCTATCATGTGAAATCAGTAAGGAAAGAATTCTCTGAAACAGCTAAGTATTTTCACAAAACAGCTGTTGATTTGCATGAAAGATATATAGCACACAAAACCGTGTGCTATATATCTTTCATGCAAATCAACAGCTGTATCTGAGATAACAATACTTAGCACAGCTGTTGCAATAAGCAGCAGGACAGGTTTCCCTTATTTATACTTCTGCAAAGGCCTAGCACGAAGAATCCTACCTTGTCTAGCAAGGACACGGTATTTAGTGAGCACCTTTTACTTAATAAGCAATATTCTACCCAAATCTTATAAAATATTTAATGTATTATACAGTCTTCTAAATTGTATATTAGAAAATATGTAGAAAAAAAATCAAATCAGTTTGTCCTCTTTTAAGCCTGAAATGTTTCAGTATGAAAAATGTAAAAGATTTCCATATATATGCTTTAATGCATTAGAGCTTTCAATGTTCTTTGCTGGATTTTTGTTCTAGAAAGGAAGAATTATTGAAAATGCAATATCCTACATATTTGCAATGTCAGTGTGCCTAAAAATTATGCATGCATTGCACTTCAAGATCCCCTGCTTTTGCATTACACGATCTTTATTCTCTTCAAAGCCATTTTTTATATTTATAAATCACACCTTTGAACTGCTTAGTAGGTTTTTTCCACGTGTTTTTTGTTCTCTATTCATCTATATGTTGCCTTGCCATCTTTTTATCATTTTTGTTTTTCCTGCCATTTTGATACTGTGGTGGACAGTGATGGACAAAGTATAGCTCTACTTGAGATAAGTTCTTAAGTTTATGTTTACTTCAGTTACCCTGTCAGCAAAGTACCTGTTTCAGTTATGTTTTATTTAATGTTAGATAATATTAAACATGTCATCATGTATTAAGTTTGCTTGGCAAAGTTTTGGTAGCAGGGGGGCTCCAGGTGTGGCTTCTGTGAGAAGCTGCTAGAAGTTTCCCCTATGTCTGATAGAGCCAATGCCAGCTAGCTCCAAGACGGACCCACCACTGGCCAAAGCTGAGCCCATCAGGGTGGTAGAGCCTCTGTGATAACATATTTAAGAAGGGGAAAAAGTTGCTGTGCAACAGCAATTGCAGCCGGAGAGAGGAGTGAGAATATGTGAGAGAAACAACTCTGCAGACACCAGGGCCAGTGAAGAAGGAGGGCGAGGAGGTGCTCCAGGTGCTGGAGCAGAGATTCCCCTTTTTTTTTTTTGGGGCGGACCATAGTGAGGCAGGCTGTCCCCCTGCAGCCCATGGAGGTTAACGGTGGAGCAGATATCCACCTGCAGCCTGCAGAGGACCCCACAATGGAGCAGGTGGATGCCCGAAGGAGGCTGTGACCCCTGTGCTGGAGCAGGCTCCTGGCAGGACCTGTGGACCTGTGGAGAGAGGAGCCCACACTGAAGCAGGTTTACTGGCAGGACTTGTGAACCCGTGGGGGACCCACGCTGAAGTAGTCTGTTCCTGAAGGACTGTACCCTGTGGAAGGAACCCACGCTGGAGTAGTTCATGAAGAACTGTAGCCTGTGGGAAGGACTCACGTTGGAGAAGTTAGTGGAGGACTGTCTCCCATGGGAGGAAGCCCACGTTGGAGCAGGGGAAGAGTGTGAGGAGTCCTCCCCCTGAGGAGGAAGGAGCAGCAGAGACAATGTGTGATGAACTGACCACAACCCCCATTCCCTGTCCCCCTGCGCGGCTGGTGGGGAGGACATAGAGAACTCGGGAGTAAAGTTGAGCCCGAGAAGAAGGGAGGGGTGGGGGGAAGGTGTTTTAAGGTTTGGTTTTTATTTCTCATTATCCTACTCTAATTTGGTTGGTAATAAATTAAATTAATTTTCCCCAAGTTGAGTCTGTTTTGCCTGTGACGGTAATTGCTGAGTGATCTCCCTGTCCTTATCTCGACCCATGAGCCTTCCGTTATACTTTCTCTCCCCTGTCCAGCTCAGGAGGGGAGTGATAGAGCAGCTTTGGTGGGCACCTGGCATTCAGCCAGGGTCAACCTACCGCAAGCTGCAGCAGAAACATCGTGTTCTCTTACAGAAAGGAACAAATTCTTCATATAACTGTGAAGGCTTTGCCAGTTTGTCGGTGACAATCTCTAAAAATGGAGAGTGAAAACAGACTGTCAGCATGTAAATAACAATTCATATTTTCTTCTTTTTTCCA